GACATTTCACAACGCCAGAAGGCTATTCTTATTACGCTTTCCGGCCTAAGAAGTTCTCCGTACTGCGAAGTTCGATTTGGTGATTTGCAACGGATGTATACTACCCCGCTGGTTAAGTGTTCCCCAGTAAGCCTCCCTGGATTACTCCATAAGGACTTTGTTTTGATCGTGCGGTCAAGCAAACAAATTGCAAGATGTAGTGGCTTGCCTAGAGATTCCATAGTTGATTTTATTGCTCGTAAACATTTCGACGCTTGCATGAATTTTCTCTCTAAGGTCCTAACTTACCGCTTTCATCCGCTACATAATGCTCTCTCACAAACGTTAGCTGTCCCTCACATACACTCAAAATTTAGGATTTTGTTCTCTCGCACTTGTTCGTATCATAAAACAACCTTGCCTTATTTGTCACGTTTTCTTGTCGACCCTAAAAAAGTCATGAATGCTTTGCGCATGCGATTCCTTGAATGACATGCATGCCTTTGCCTATTCATTTCTTCAAACTGCATTTATGTACTTTTAATCGGTCCTATTCATACAGTGTATCCACAGTGATAATGTAAATGCTGATAATGCACCCATTTAGGTGTACGAAGCCTATCTGGACTTGACTTGTACACGCATAGTTCGGGTAGAATAAGGGCTTAAGGCAAACTGTCGCCGCCGCTCAATACCTCCAGCGCGGTGTGAGACAAGGCTGACCGCTGTCATCCTCCCTTATTAACTTCGACACTGACGAAGACATGGAAAATGCATTCATTGAATACGATAAGCAGGGTGTGGATGTGCTCCCAGATGATCGGTTTCTTGATTGGCAGTAAGTCAACGATGTAATCCTATCTGTGAGTGCCCCCAAACGTGCTAAGCAGCATTGGACAGATTAGCACCGGCAGTTAATCGTTTCGGGCTACGTTTTGCATCCCCGAAAGCACAGCAGACAGAGGATGAAAAGCAGGGACCCACCCATGCGCTGATCCCTTTGTGGTGATCAACTGGAAATCGTTCAACTAATTAGTGCCCGAGCGATCGAAGATGATATCACCAACCGTGTAGACAAAGCTCGATACGGTTTTGCCTATCTCCGTCACCCGTAGCGCCGGTGCGACATCACTCACGCCCTGAAGGGAAGAGTTTACAACGTAGCCGTCCGCTTAACCCAGAAGTACGGTTGCTAAACTTGGTCCATCAGATCAACGGACATAAAGAGGCTTGTTATGTATTATCATCACTGCCTTCACAGCTTAGCTCATGTCTATGGGGAACACCGCGTGAGTAATGAGCGTGTTCGGTGTTGCTTATTTGATGCAGGAAGAGCAAGGGAACCGCTCAATACCATTGCTTAACACACAAGGCTCAGATGACTGGCCTACGTGCTGCGCATGTCAGAATACCGACTCCCGCGTCGTGCGTTGTCTGCAAGCCAGGGTGTGGGTGGAAGAAGAGGGGAGACCTAGAGATGATTTAGTCAAAAAATAATAAAGACTCACACTTTGAAGTTGGCGTCGGTTGTTGCCCGACTGCCGGGCTGGCGTCTGAAGGCCGATGAACACGTTTGGTTGGATGCATTTGTCGGCATGGCGTTTGTAGTGAGTTTCTCTATCAAGCGCCTCCTAGCCACAATCTCATAGCCAATGTGTACGATACTAAGCACATTTTGTAAGCAGTAAATTTACCACGCGATTCGCAAGATGGATGACGCGAGCTAACTCTGGATTCCCACCCGCTATTTGTTTATCCACCCTATATGCCCCATGGTTACTTGCCCTCCCGACTTAAGTGTTATGTAATCCACAAGATGAATAACATGATCTACCCTATCTGCTCACCCAAGTTATGTGCCATGGTTACATGCCAACCAACATAGCTATTATGTAATCAGCAAGTCACATGTCGCGATCTAAGTCTGGATGACCAAAGCAGATACCTGTCCTAGTTGATGAGCGCCGGGTTACCGAGTACCTTCCATGTCAACTATCGATGTCGCCATGACTTCACCTCTCACTGTGGAGACAGTTCGCTTACACTGGGCAACCCGTCCAGACCACCACACCTACACATCACAGGCAGTCAAAAGAAAGAAGACGAAATTCAACACCAAACGAAGGCTTGAAGAGCAGCTGCATGTAGTTTTGCAATAGAAGCTGATTATGGCTTGGAAAACAACAGAACAACATGGACGACGAATGCTGCGCCTGCTGGTCACGGATGCACACAAACGGAAATATAAATATCAAATGGTGATTGACCAACAGAAAGCAATATCCTTAGTCAAGCTAGGGGCATGGTTGACTAAATAATTGGAAAAGTCGATGGCAATCAAAACACACAAGACGAAATTCAACACCAAACGTAGGCTTGAAGAGAAACTGCATATACTTTCGCAACAGAAGCCGATTATGAAAGATGTGTGGATTGCGAACCTAGCTAAAAGAATTCAAAGCTGAGTTTAGAGGGCACGCTGTGTGGTTGGGTTGCGACTCGCAACCTCTATTGAGACCTCGGCTCACTTTGAGGTAAACCTCGGTCATTCCGATCTCGACGACCGTATCCTGAATGGATATATTTGGGTGTTGCTCTTCCCAACACTGGCACACCACGATCGCGGTTTCGTCTTGGTTTACACTCGTCAGGTGGAGATAGCCTGAGCTGGGGTGGAACTCAGAGCTTAGTAGGTCATGGCTGACGCTCTGAAATACAACAGCACTCATCCGGCAGTCCACAAGCGCAGCTGCGTGCTACCTCTTTTCAAACGAGCACGGACACATTGCAACACGCAGCAGCTGAGGCAGACGGAGGAAAACCATCTGTTCAGCCTATTCAAACGGAATTCGTACCCGAAAGGCTTCATTCTGCGCCGCTTCACCCCACATAAAGCAACACAACACACCTCAACAAATGCAACGACTGAGAAGCAAACCGTGTTACCTTAACGGAATCTCGGAAATGGTAGCGAGACTTTTGTTGTCTTTATGAGTCAAAGTTGCTCACCAACCAACAGAAACAACACGAAATAAACTCTTCAAAGTGAAAGATAAACTTAGCAAGTGGGAAACGTCTGGTGTAATCTGCAAGATATGCTGTCGAGACTATGACAAATACTACGTAGGACAAACAGGAAATAAGCTTGGCACACGGCTACATGAACACATCCTAGCCATGCACCGTCATGATAAGAACACTTTGATGTCCGTGCATATGGAGGCCGAAGGCCACCAATTCGACTTGGAGCACATGAAAATCCTCGGAAGAGCCACAAGCCGGTAAGCACGTGAGTTTATTGAAGCCTGGTATTCAAAGTAGAACTCGACCAATAAACACTTAGATCGGGAAGTCGCTTATACGAAGCTCTGGGCAGCAGGACGTTAAAGCCGCACTGATGATGTTGCCTAGTCTGGCAGCGAAACGTCTGTAAAATAATCAATCAGCTCGGAGAGCAATGCAATACCCACAGTACTATTTGCTTTCCTTTTGGACATTGTGAAAGCTGGTTGTTTCGGAACTGATCGGGCTTTACGCTATCGGGCGCGTCCCCAGGTTGCGGATCGGGAAATGCCTTCCTTTTGGAGGTAACTGCGAATAAGGGTCGTTCGCTTTGCAGGCGAGATGAATAATCAGTCGCGGACAATCAGCGGCAGCGTCTCAGAGCGTGAGGAGTTCTGGGCTGGTCACCTGCTTCTCCATTAAATACCACAAGTGCTCGTACGGCGCTGTGTCAAAGCCAATGTGACCGGCTATAGGGTCACTGACCACTCACTCCTGTAACTGGGGGTGAGTATCTAACGGAGGGCGGATGAATAACCTCGCTGGCCACCGGCTGCTCTGTGGACTGCTTCCGAACACAAAGAAGGCGAATGAGCCACTTGGCCGTCAACAGGTTAGGTCTTAAGACCAAAGGCTCGGGGTGGGGTCCTTTAAGTCAACCCTCTTCCTCGGCCTGGGCAACCGGGAAGCTCAATGCCCAAACAACACATGGAACTTTCCTTCCAATCCTCCTACTCACTCTCGTTTTTGTTATTGTTACTCACGTGTTGTGGTACTATGCCATATTTATTAGGCAAGTGTTAAATACAAATACATACTATTTGAATAGTACCGTAGTTAGCGTTTCGGCTTGCTTTCTTAGTTGGACCCGGGAGATTTTACGCGCCACTAGACACCGCCCAAGCGGATTTGTCGCTTACACATCTTACATTTTATATCTTTGTTTTCTATTTATTGTTTCTCGCGTTTTTCAACCATCTTGTATTTTTGTATCGCTGCACAATAGCTGAAGTTTCTCACCTCCATCGCATGTGTAACGATGAAGATGGGGATTCAGGTGCCTCAGCCGCAACCTGTTTTCTCAGACCTGGACACCGCGCTGCTGTCTAAGTTTGGACGATGTGGCGACATCCAGCATACGCACAACAGTGTGCGGTAGCGTAGCATAGAATCATAAATACGACACACTAGTGTACTGCTGATAACCCTCACTTCTAGATGTTTATAAGGCGAGGATAGAGTTGGAACAACGCCCACAGCATAGTGATGTGAATGCTGTAAGAAGGCTGTCTCACCGGCAACATTCCAACCACAAAAATGACACCACGCTTTAGAAACATGGCGTTTCGTAAACGAAGTTAGCAAACAAAAGCGGACTTCTCGTCAAAGTTATGATCGTCTGAACCAACTAATTAAAAATGTCAGAAAAGCCCTGGAGTCGATAACCAAATTTCGAAGAAATCGATGATGCTGATGGTGATGATTAGGTCGACGACGAATGTAGCTAGCTTTATTTCGCTCGAAAACTTGAGTATACCAGAGCTCAGCAGACAAAATCAAGTGTAAAGATGCTTAAACAGTGCTCAACACGCCAACCGGACAGAGGGTGAAAAGTTAAATCCCAACTGAGTCAAAGGTGACCGAGGATATTCAGGATGGGCAGGTTAGACATTCGTGGAGCATGTTGTGTGCGAGGTTGGAGGGAAATTCATACAGAAAGCAACAGAAAAACGACGTACCATCTGATGCTTCGAAGTATTCGAGGAATGCCGATCGCATATGCATGGGGAAATACGAAGGGGCAACGAAATGGAGCAAGTTATAAAGCTCCCTCAAATCGTTCTGTATCGGGGTGCCCGTTAGAATGAAGCGGACCTTTTTGCACACCTGAAGAGAGAACGATAAAAAAGCGTAGTGTCAGTGGCTCGGAAGAAAATATGGACTACTGCACTGAGATAAATTATGCGTTAAACTGCAAACAAAAGTGACAAATTAACCATAGCGCGTTATACCTCAATTTGGGGTGGTTTTACGGAATAAAAAGGCGGCGTATATGCATCAGCTAGTAAATTAGATGACTGATAAAAATAACGAACTTTTGTGTTCATAATGGCGTTATTCTTCTTTATCATCTTCTCACGGACCCTCGCTACCCACCAATTCTTTGGTTGACGCTCAGGCAGCTAGTTAGATGATGTTTCAAGGTGCAGTAAATGCTGATGAACTGATATATTGGCAGAACCAACCTACATACCCCAACCAGGCTAATCGAAGCCTAAGTGATGTATGCAATATTCGGAAGACTCAAACGGGAAGGATAATCGATATGAGTAGATTGTGCGTGCCTTACGGAAGGTGAACCCAGTCAGCATTCGATTCGTCTAGCTCATTTGTCAGTGACAGTTAACAATGTAAATCGGACTGATGTTCTTATAACGCAGATTGAGTAGACAATTGATGAGCAAGTACCACCGAAGTCGAACGCTTCGCCGAAGCAGGAAATTTGGTGCGACCGTCGTCAGAATCCACATAGGTACCCCAAACTGACATAGTCTAGCACTTATATGCGTCACCTATAGCTGACGGTAATGTGAACAAAATAGGTCCATGGAAACCTGCCAGTCGGTGACCGGCAGATAACGGTGCGAATTCTTGTGCTGAAGAGTTTTGCCACTGTTACAGAGGTTATGACCAGCATATAACTGTATAATGCAACCACTACTCTCAGTCCGACAAAGGTCGACGCTAAAACGGCCTCCGATGCGATGTTCTGAGTGCGATAAGTGATCGACTTGAGAGATCATGTCGGCCGTGATGGTCACGAGGGGAACCCAACTGAGCATGCCACCGCACCCTCCGTCTCCATCGTCTGTCTTCCCTTTATTCGGCCATGCCAACCCTAATACTACACACACATTAGTGCGATTCTAAATTCTTCCTCCGTATGCCCCTTAATCGGCTTCCTCGGCGTGCATTCTCCGCCGTGGCTGTACCGTTGGGCAAAACTGCAAGGCGGCCGGTCCATGACGTGGCACAGAGGCATGAAGAAACTGACTGAAAGAGTTGGTCAGGCTGGTGTGTGCCGTCTTCGTGAATGGTGGTTTCGTGATGGTCCGCACTAACGGTTGGAGACCGTATCAGACATAGCGCAGTCACACAGCCAGTGGCGTTCCTACGTTCGGTTTCGTGCATCTGGTTTTTAATTTTCATTCCATGCTGATCAGTTTAAAGCACTTCCTCCTTGCTTCCATTTTCTTTACATTCTATCTGCATTCAACACTATTATCCTGACGTTATTTATTGTTATCCTTGCGATGTGAGTCGTGGTAACTGTATCCCCCGCACCTCGGTGATCGGATAATGGTGGTTCAACTGAAGTGAACTAAATTCGCATTCTCACCGTTCAATCACATATCATCAGACAAGCTAGAACATCCAAGGGCATGCTGAAAAGAAGGACCGTACGATACTTTTACTTCAACAACTGCCAAGACTTCTTCATTTCAAGCCTTCCCTCCAGTTTCCTTACCCTCTGGTTGCCGCCACAAACAATATTGGATAGTCCTAAATAGTCTATATCACTGCAGCCTGTCTGATGCTCAGTGCCAGACGCTCACTGCGTGGGTGCATTCGTGTGTGTGTACTTCGGCTATTGGCCCTCTGCCGTAACCATTGATTGGTAACTTAAGTCTGTGCCCATGCGATTTCGAATGCTTTGCGCTTCCTTTTTGGTGTGCAGTGGTACTTGCCGTTTACCTGCTTAACCGTCTTACTACACAGTTCTGTTTGCTGATTTCGTCTTGGCATCACAAGCTGGCGACGGAGGTTGTTGCGATCACTAATGTCGAATGCGATTACCTCATCTCAGCCGTTTTGGAATTCTTCCACGGAAAGGCCTAGTACGCAACAATGACTGCAGTGAAAAACTACCTTCACTACTTACGTGGATCTGATTGTTCTCCTTGGTGGTAATGGTACCATGGATGGTGCATGAAAAATCAAGTTACTGCGTCAACGCTTAGACAACGAGGGGCAGCAACATTTCGATAGCCTACAACTACATACGAAACAATAGTTACAAGCTGTTCTCCACTCTCTTGATCGTCAGTGCGGTGAATAGCCACATGTTTTTACAGCACGTTACAAATTAAACATCATGTGGCAGCAGCAGGACGAAACTATAAATGAGTTTATTTTTCGATTCCTAACTACTCTTCCTGACTGTGTCTATAACCAGATCAAGCCAGCCCAATCTGAAGAAGCAAGGCTTTTACAGGTATTAATTATTGGTGTTATTGACGAGAAGGCACGAGAGCGCCTGTAATCGGAAGATGAAAAGACCTTGAGTTGGATAAGAGCCTGTGACAGTTCCACAACATGCCAGTCTCGTTCAGGAACTAACGGCATTCTCCTCTCCTAATCTGACAATCTCGCAAAATGTACATAAAGTCTTTCGGACTAAATCTGGTAACACAATGTCTCATTCCGTACAGCGCAGAGAATTGCGTTGTTATCGCTGTGGTGAACAGCACTCAACACCGGCTAATTGTCAGCATCCTCATTCGATATGCAGAGTTGGTGGGAAGAGAGGACACATCCAGAAAGTGTGCCTTTCCAAACGAACAGATTTCAAAAAGTGCTTTAAACGCTATTAAGAAACTTGTAGCATCCGTCGACGCACAGAAGCTCAGTGTTCTTTCTTGTGATGCTTCACCCGACGGTCTTGGAGCTGTATTATTGCACAAACTACCGGACGGCTGTCATCAAGCTTTTGCTTATGCTTCACGAACCTTGACGGCTTCAGAACGTAATTCGTCTCATCTTGATCGAGAGGCAGTTTGCGGTACTATTCGGTTTCACCAATACCTACTCGGTCAACCATTTGTGATTTACACAAATCGTACACCTCTGATATGACTTCTTGGTCATGAAAAAGAGATACATCAAATGTCCTCACCCAAAATTGTCCGTCGGGCCTTGATTTTTTTGCATTTACATGTCAAATTCAATACTTCCCTGGCTGACGAAATACCCCTGCTGAAGCCCTCGGTCGGATTCCCTTATTGGAAGTACCTTCGGAAGAATTTGCCCCACAGGAACTCGTAAATCTGATCCAGCGCCTTAACAATTCTCTTGCTACCACAACACACATACGCCGAGAAACCGATGGAGACCCTACTTCAGCAGTCGTTGAACGCTACGTTCGGGTCGGGTGGCCAGATACTACGACCAAGGAACTCAGGCCTTTACGTAACAGATTGACCGAACTCAGTCTCCATAATGGATGTGTACTGTGGGGAGCCCGGGTTGCAGTCCCCAAAAAGCTGCGATCAGTTATCCTGGATGAACTGTATGATACACACCCAGGAATCTCTAAAATGAAGTTGCTAACTCGTTTTCATGTGTGGTGGCTTGATTTAGACAGGGAAAATGCGGTAAAAGTTGAGGGTTACGTGCTTTGTCAGGAGAATGGGAACGTGGTGCCCATGTGTCAGTACAGCCAGAGAAGTGGCCAGAAGCATCATGGAAACGTATTCACGGATACTTTTTTGGCCCTAATGAAAGTCAGATGACCTTGTAGATCATTAATGCCTATTCCAAAAGGAATGATGCCCACGTCATCGCTACAGCAAACTCACGTCACACAATAGTTAAACTGCATAAGACGTTTGCAACCGTCAGTATTCCGGAAACACTATTGTCAGACAATAGGACAGCATTCACTAGTGCCGAAGTTTCTGTCTTCCTAACCTCGAATATCATTAGACACGCAAGTACTACTCCGTCGCAACAACACTGGACCTTAACGTGGTGCGACGGTTTGAGTACCTCATAGACCCATTGAGCTATACTGGGTGATGCATCCGGGCACCTTGAGAGCTACTCCTACCAGGTTGGTCAATGGTGAGAGGTCAGACAAACTCAGTCTCCTGGTCCTCCAGGGTGGCGGTTTGAAACAGGATGGCGTCCATTTCTGTACAACTAAACTATTGCCACCTCTCCGCTGCCATGCAGACAAGCTTTTGAGCCAAAAGCTTTGGATGATGACCCTAATCGTCCTCCTGTCTAGGTCTGGGCGCCCTGGCAGTATCTCAGCCCACATACAACCATGACATTTTCTTCGGACATAAACTTCATCCTGCATCGGCCATCGTGAAGATTACCAAGGGTCACCTTATCTGCTACATATAGAAAGGCGGATAAACGAAAACATGTTAATGCTGGCGCCTCCCTTCTCTCTTTTCAAACGATTTCTCTTACTCCAATCCCGATCCCCATTACTAACCTTCCTTCTATAATTTCCAGCTTAATTGACAGCAACCGAAGTGACAATGGAGTACAACCATCTGCAGCCACTACCCCACTGCACCTATCGGACGCCTATCGCTAAAGTACCTTATAAGGCCACACTATCCCGTCTCCATGACGACACTCAACATTCGCACTCTAAGACAAACTGGTCAGCAGGCTGCACTCGCACGCACCTTGGACACACTGGGTATTGATGTGTGCTGTGTGTCCGAAACTAGCATCAAGGACCCTAACGGGGGTATTGAGTTAACTGCACCCGGCTTATCCTCTCGTTATTGGTTGCACGCATCTCGAGACGCCGATGCAGCACCCACGGGTCAAACTGGTGTAGGTATCATGCTAAGCGCCAAGACTGGGTCGTCGTTGGTTGATTAGATTCCAGTGAACAGCCGTCTACGTGCAGCCCGTTTGACGACATCAAACGCTGTTTCTTTGTGAGTTCCGCTTATGTTTCCACCGACTGCAGTTCAAATGCTCTCAAGGACACATTCTATAACATACTGAACGCGCTACTACGCAGTGCTACTAGTTCAGATATTATAGTACTTGCAGGGGATATGAACGCACAAGTAGGG